CCCCCACCCCTCCCTCCTTCACGGACTTCACTTTATCCCCTATTCCCTCCCTCCGCTCCGCGGCACAGGGGAATGGGGGTCCCACCGCTGCTTTCCGCTCAGGGAGAGGAGTCCGTGTCTGCTCCGTCCAGCGTGGGGTACTTGGCACGGGAGACAGTCCCTCGGGGCAGGAGAGGGGCTGTGTGGGCAGTTTTGGGCACCAAAGGCAGCTCAGGTCGGGTCCCCGCTGCCCTGAAACTGCTGCTTGTGAGGCTCCTCCTGCGCTGGTTCGGGTGGTTCCTGTGACAGCGATTCCTGTCGCACACAGCTCAAATCATGGCTCACAGCAACGTGAGGCACATCCATTCCAATCTCCAGCCCTGGTCCTTTTGGGCACAGCTACGAGCTCTCGACCCCATTCCCCGTGAAGTGGAGAGGGGAGTGTGGGGCAGAGCGTGTGCTGGAAGCGGGGGAGGGCAGCTGGAAAGGAGGGGAGAGGGGAAAAAAGCAGGGGTGGGACCCCCCAAAGTGAGTGGGAGAGCAGACTGGGACCCCCGAAACTAAGCGCGGACGGTGCTGAAGATTGGGGGGCAATGAGAAAGGAGAAGGAGGAGGGGAGGGCGTAAAAGGGGAGTGGGACCTCCAAGCTGAATGTGGGGGGAGCTGAGGATTGGGGGACAATGGGAAAAACTGTGGGAGTGGGGGAAATAGGGGCAGCTGGGACCCCCAAACAAAACAGGAGAGTTTGTGGGAGAATCTGGGACCTGCAAATCAGGCGTAGGCTGGGCCGGGAGGATGATGGAAAAGGGATGGGGGGCAGGAAAGGGGTGATGGGATTCCTAAACTGAGCGGGAAGGGGGCTGAAACCCTGCAACTGAGCAGAGCAGGAGGAGAGGAAATATCCCTAAACCAAGCTGGGGGGAAGCTGGGGATTAAGGGGATGATGGGAAAGGGTGAGGAGAGAGGAAAAAAGGTGAGTTGGAAACACCTGGAATTGGGATAAACATAAAGAAATTGAATAAAGACATGTAAACCCCCATCACTTTACAGGGATTTGGGGTTTGGGGGAATATTCAGGAGGATTTTGTGGTTCTGAGAGGGTTTGGGGGAGTTTTCTCCATCCCTTTGCTCCCAGAAGTTGAGAGGGATCGATCTGTTGCCACAAAATGACTCAATGCCACTGAAATTGCCTCAGTCCCACCTCAGAATATCTTGACCCCCACCTCAAAATGACTGAATCCCACCCTAAAAGTACTTGGTCCCACAGCTGCCTCTAAACCCCTGGGAGGGTGGGATGGCAACTGGGAGGTGTGAGATGGGGACTGGGAAAGCTGGGATGGGGTCTGGTAGGAGACAGCTAAAGGTTGGGGATGAAGAGGCCGGGGGGGGTACCCCGTTCCTGAGGGGGTTTCAGGGTATCCCTCTGAAGTTCTGAGGCCTGAACAACAGGCCCTGAGCCAGAGCTGATCTCTAGATGAACCTTCCGACCTACTGTTATATATAGTCATGTATCTGCTTATTAGCCAAAATCCTACGTAATCCTTAGTAAAATACGTAATACTAAACATGACAGTAAGATATATTGGTATCTACTTGTAGTGGTTTGGACTTTGTTTTCTCCCAGAGGCTAAGAAAAGTGGTAGACCCCAAGGGGTGGAAACCCCTGGAAGTTTTGGAGTTCTGCCCAATGGGCGCTCCTGCAAAAATATAAACATATCACAACCTCACCAGAAGAGATGAGTTGTAGTTTTTGGTTGTTGAGGAGAGGTGGCCATGTTGTGAGCCACGAGGAAGGGGCTCTGAGCCCCTTGGGCCCTCTGGGGCCCCCCAGCCCCTGGCGGGGGGGGGGACTGCAAAGACCTGGAACAGTGCTAGAGTGGACTAAGTGTTTTGTAGTGTGCTGGGAGATGTTTTCTCCATGGGCGCAGAGCAGCAGCCAGCACTGACCAGAGAAACGGTGGCAGAGAGCCAGGAGAGATAAGGACCTGAACCGGAGAAGTAACAGAGACATGCAGCACCAGAGAAAGGACTCCTGGAAGGAGAGCTGGGAGAAAGAGAGCCAGCAGCCTGAGAGAGTTCTGGGGGTAAGACTGTACCAGCCCCC